GACTGAAAGCCAGCAAGCGCGGGGGTGGGGGGCGTCGTCCATCCCCTGTGGCGGCGGGCGATGGGCTTTGCAGTGCGGGACCCCAGCGGGGGAGAGGGCGGGGATGATGGGAGTTGTGGTCTGCCGCGCTGGCGGCGGCGGGCCTTGGAAGGGGCGGAGGCGGGGGCTCCTCCGTTCCTCCCCCTGGTTTTCCTCGCGGTTCAAGCTTCCTTCTGGGACTCAGGCCTTCGGGGTCATCCCCGCCACAACCCTGCGAGGTAGGCCGGGCCGCCCCAGGCTCTTGCTGACGGGCCGCCCTCCCTTCGCCCCCCTCCAGGTCTTCGTCCTGCTCTTCATCTTCGTCAAGAGGCAGATCATGCGCTTCGCCATGAAGTCTCGCCGGGGCCCCCACGTGCCTGTGGGGCAGCACGCCCCCAAGGTCTGTGGACAGCCGGTGGCTTTTGCCCGTTGCTCGCTTGCTTGCTTGCTTTCTGGGCTGGGGGGGCTGTTCCTTGGGATGGGTTAGCCTCGGGCAGGGATAGAGGGGTCTCCTCTGGGTGCAAAACAGCAGCCGCGGGCTGGAAGGGTGCAGGGCCGTACCCCGAAACAGGCTCGGGGGCTGCGGCTCCGGCAAGGGAGCATCGCGGCGCCCGTTGAACGAGCTGCGCCTTTTCGCGGGCTCAGAAAAATCCACGCCGGAGTTCCCAAAGCATTACAGAATGACCCGCTACCGCCTGGGAACATTTTCCCGAGACGCGAGGGCTCCCTGAAACCCCGCTAAAGATCCAGCTCCTTGAACAAGTAGCCAACAGGTCCGGCGATTGCACCCTGCTCCGAACCCCTCATCAGTTTCAGATTTGAACGCTGCAGCCCCCCTGTGCTGATTCCCCCATCAGGAGCCTTTTAGCATGTGCGTTTCCTCTTGTTACGTTAGGGAGGCCTGATCTGTTTAGGAAGCTCAGCGCCCTGGTTGTAAACTTTTGCATCCCATCTGATGTCAGCATTGAGCCTAATCGTAAAAGCTGTTCTGAAGCCCAAATTTAATAAAAGCTGGTTGCTCTCCAGCGTGAGAGACGCTGAAAGATTTGGGAGATTGTTCCCTAGTGTGGGGGAAAAAAGACCACAGAACCGTGCGGGATTCTGAGGAGTTTAGAATATGGTATTCAGTGAGTAGTAACTATCAGTATAAACATTTACTATAAAGTAGTAAACTTTTACTATTTATATTTTGCTACTTTCCTCAGGCAAGTCCTCTAGACTGTCGATGAAATAATCATTTAAAAAAGCAACATCCGAAAAGTTAAAAATGGTAAAATCAGTGAGACGCTTGGCAAAAAAAGAGGCACCTTTACAGATAATTTATAGATTGTCTGAGACTTGATCCAAAGTAACTCCAGAGGGAGTGCATGCTACAATCTGACGCAGACCTCTGACCCCAGGAGCGCCGTCTTCGTTTTCTCTCTGCAGATCTCGACCGGTTCATAACAGGAGAGGCAATACGTTAGTTCCTTAGTACTTAATACACGAGGAATAGATTCCTCTGTAGTTGAGAGTAATCTGTCTTTAAACACAAGGTGGCAGAGTTTGAATGGGAGATTAGTGACATGCAGTGCTAACCGGTGTGTCCTCTTTCTTCCCTCAATCGCTTTCTGCATTCAGGGACTCAAGGAAGAGATTGACATCCGACTATCGCAAGTTCAGGACATCAAATACGAGCCCCGACTGTTGTCGTACAATGACACCCGGCTGCTACAACTTGAGTCACCCAGAAGCCCATGTACTGTGCTTAGGGATCTGGGGGGACAAGGGCACAAGCGTGGGGTATCATCTGCAGCAGAGGACATCTTGCCCCAACTTAGGTTTCTCTGCTTCCTTTTCAGTTCCTTATAACTACGTGTATCGGATGAAAGCTTTGGATGCGGTCAGAGATTCAGGTAAAATCAACAAGCGACTATCCACAGAGCAACAGCGGGTCTGTTTTTAGTGTTTTGTTTCATTTTAGCCATCGTGGTCTCAGTGGTCAGGGTGAGGTGTAAGAAGATAATTGGGGGGTTGCTATTTTGGAAAAGGCATTTGCTGCCTCTGTTTCAAGAAACTTTTTTTAAAAAATATGTCTTTATTAGACATTGTAGAGAAAATGTACTCACCGGAAAGGAAGTTTCTACACCTGAGTGAAGTATTTGCTCCATTGCGGGATTTCACGTAGCCAGCAAATCCAGGCTCTTGAGTTCATTGCAAAAAAGGTAGTTGGGTGAACCCTGCCGAGCGTGTCATGTGAACGAGGCTCTCGTGTGCTTCTCTCCGCAGAGATCCCGTACTCCACGGAAGGCAGATACCCCAGGTCGTTGATCGGGAAAAACTTCCAGGCCTACCTGCTGGACCTCCGCAACTCCAGTACCCCTTTGAAAGGGATCCGCAAGTCTCTGATTGACAACCTCCTGGACGGGTACGATAACGCCCGCTACGGGACAGGGGTGAGTGTGGCTTTCCAGAGGCCCTGCAGAGCAGGGCTGAAACATGATTGCGTTCTGCCATTGCGATCGGTCCTTCCAGTTTGGGCAGCTTTAAAGATTTTTTTTTTCCTGTTTTTCTGCCATAGACTTTCGGCAAAGTAGAGTTCCTCAAGTACCAGGAAGCATTGTATGAGCTGGCAACAATGTAAGTTGGCAGTGGGCTAAGGGTGGGGAAGGGGGAGAATTTGAACTAAAGCAGAAGGGGACTTTGAAAGAATTGGCCCCAGGATGGTGGGGCCAGACAGCCTGTCCTAACAGAACCAGATCTTTGTGCTAGAGCACATATTTTGCAAGTAGAACTACGCAGCTTCGATCCACAGAAAGGAAGGGGGCTGGAACAGTTTCCCCGCAGTGGAGTTTTCTGTAGTGTGGACTTCAGCTCCCAGAATTCTCCGGGCCACGGCTGAGAATTCTGGGAGCCGAAGCTGCTCTGTAAGCATGTGGATTTCACCTCCCACAATTCCTTGGCTCACTGCTGAGAATCCTGGCAGCCGTGCACAGATCCAGCACTTAATAGGGGTAACCCTCGCATCTGCAGTTGGGCCTGAAATGCAGCAGTTTTGAAACGGTTCCTACTGAATTGAGCCTCCTGGGAGTGGAATCTCACCCTCTTGGGTTGGCTTGTCATGCAGAGATAGAGCCCCCACTCTTCTGATCGATACGGTCCAACCATCCTGGGATTCAGGACTAGCCTGAAGTGATTCCAGTCAAACGCTGAAGCCAGACCATAGCTGCTGAACAGCATGGCTTGTTGTCCGAATGGTGCCACGGTGTTCATCCCGGGGGTTGGATGCGGGCGTGGCTGGTGGGGCTGCATGCCATCAAGGCTCGCTAGCCAAGGTTTGTGGGTCGGCCTGTTGCAGAAACCCAGCCTTCCTCTCCTGCAGCATCAAAGCCCGAGGCGGGAGCAGTCAGCGGCAGCACCAGTCGGCGGCCAAGGACCTCACCCTCTCGCCCGACCTTTCCAGCCCGACCATCCAAGTCACCTACCTCCCCTCCAGCCAGAAGAGCAAACGGGCCAAACATTTTCTGGAACTGAAAAGTTTCAAGGACAACTACAACACCCTGGAGAGCACCCTGTGACCTCCGGCCTGGACTTGAGACACCCATGCCCGGGAGGGAGCACCAGAAAGGGCACCGCTTTCTCCGCTGGACCAAGAGAACTGGTTGCCTCCGCGCGGGCTTGGCTAGCCCTTGTGGCTAGCGGCTGGTGTTTGGAAGCCATTCCCTGCTGTGAAAAGATTGTGGGATGGCCGGGGGGGGGGGAAGCTGACTTCCCACCTCTGAAATGAGCCCGTGTGATTTTTGTAAATAAGCCTCTTTTCTTTTGTTACCTCTTATTTATTTAAAGACTCGCTCTCTCCGCATGCCGAACGAGCCAGAATGGGCCAGAGATCAAGTTCACGAGACTTTTCCCTCTCGATGGACCTTGCTGTCTTTCCTCCCTGAATTCTACCCCTCTGACGTTTGAGGGAAGGTGGCCTTGCCTTCCACGGCGTGGGCGCGGTAGATACCCAGCCGCTAAGGCAAGAGATGGTCCGTGTTGTGTGAGACGTGTCCAGTGGGGCCTTTCCACGTTCTGGAGCAGGAAGTGAGCAGGCAATTGAACATCGCCCTTGTCCAAGAGAAGGGTTTTCTCCCCTTTATACCTAGTGGCAGGAAGCACTTGAGAGCACCCCCCAATGCGAAGCAGCACCATGCCCAGCGCCCTTCGAAGACGCGTCGTCTGTTCAGACATCGTTCCTGCACAAGCTTGCTCAGGCGTCTCTGAGTTGGGCTGTTTAAAATAAAACGGGCAGTTTGCCCTTGCACACCTACCTCCTTTGCCTTTTCTGTTCGAAGCAGGTTTATGAAAGTAAGGAAACCTGGCGTGGGTGGGTTGGAGGGAGAAGAAATCAGCTTTGGAAATGTTCTCTCCTACGGCGTTTTTCCATTCTGTAATGACGGGCCGGGTGATTTATTTTGGTGGGAGCTGAGTCTGTGCTGGCCAGAAGGTGGCATCTTTCTCAGAGCAATGGTGAATTTTGCACGGCTTCCTTTGGTTTCGTGAGGGGGTGAGGACCTCCAGACAAACACCCTTTGAAGCAAAGGAATGGCAGCTTTTTTAAAAAAATGTTTCTTGATACAGGCAGGGACCTTTGGCCAAAGAGCAAAGGCATTGCTGCCTACGCTCGTTCTGATTTCTTGATAAGGTGCTCTCCCGTTGCGGATTACACCAAGTTGCAATAAACATTGCATGTGAAAACCAACCCTTGTTACTAAAAACCTTATTGATACCACACAGCGAGAGAAGCGGAACAGTTTTTCACCTGTGCTGATGGAAATTCAGTGCTTGACTGATTTTTATAGCTTGCTTGCTTGCTTATTTATCTATCTGCGTCCCAGCTAAAGCAATGCTGTCTAAAACGTTTAATATTTTTATTTTTAAATGTTGCTTTTACTCTTTGGAGGTCCTCCAAAAGCTGTTGGTTAACTAGTCTGGAGAATAGATTGACCTTATTGACAAACTCAAACTCTAGGCCGCAGATTGTTGAATAATCAGGACAGTTTGCTGAAATCTGGCTTGGCGAATAACAAACTATGATTTGCTGACCCCACAGTCGCCTGGGTCACCCGTCGCGCTACGTCCAAAAGTGTTTTTCAGACTTGATGGGTTCCCCCATCAAGACAAAAAGGAAACACTGCCTTTGCACAAAATGTGAACCCAGCCACAATTTTTAGTAACCCTGGAAATCTGTTTACAGCTTAGTCCCGAAAGAAGAAAGATCAGTTGGTATAAAAGCATCATGGCCTATTTACCCTTTTCTTCCTTAGACTGTTCATTTATTTCATTTATTTGACAAATTTATATAGCTGCCCACCTTGCACTTCGTAGTGCGATTTAACTGAAGATGTGTGAATCCAGAAATTGGAAAGGAAATGGATGGGCCAATCCTTTCTTGGCCAAAATCTTTTTTTATTTGATTCTCCTGTGTATAACCAGATCTTGGTTTTTCCCTGCAAAGGGCGAATTATCAGCTCCAAACCAATCAGCGTTGCAATTGGATGTCTCAACTTGCGTTCTCTGTCTTTGTTGGTCCACTGGAAGCCAGCTGACGTGACCCAGCTTGAGGGCTCATCAAACAAGAAGGGGGGTTGCTCCATTTTGAAGCAGTCTTGTCAGTTAACAGAATCAGGCACCCATATGATGACCCCCGGGGCTCCAAAGTGCCAAGGTCACCAGGGAAACTGGGAGGACCACTTGGGTGGGTAAGCTTCATTGCACGGTTGGAGGCATCTTGGGACCATTCAATTAACAGAGATGCATTCACGTATTCTATTGATATGGGTAGTCTTGGTGTCTCCTCTGAAAGGGGTGCCCCCCCACTTCAACAGTTGCCCTTGAAAAGAAAGCAAGAACTTCAAGAAGACCACCTTCTTCTAAGTTGAGGTTGACCACCCACTCCCAGGACTTAAGTTGACTCCAGTTCCTTGCATGTATTTGGAAAGTTGACAGCAACTGGGGAGGTGGGGTATCTTCATGATGTAGCCCGCCAGCTCTTCCTGGCCAGCTGTCCCGTTCTCAAGGTCGATGGGGTGTGCCCACCCAACCATGTGCCCTCAACGTTGCAGGGGAACGTCCATCAGTGGATGAACCAAGAGATCGATAAACTAGCATTCTAGCTTAATCAGTGGTGGAACCAGGCTGGTGGGGTGAGGGGATTGAGAAGAATTGGGGTTGAACTAATGTCCAAAGACACGTGACAATCGCCTGTGATGGGTCAAACACAGCCCAGTCTTTCAGAAGCGTACCCATCAAATAGGACAACGCTTACTTTGAAAGGGGGACAGCAATTTTTCCATCCTGGTTTAGCCATCGCACAGGTTTATATCTCTGGAACGGTTGCCACACCGCCTTCAAAGCTATCCTTCCTCACAAATTGAAACTGGTTTTCCGTAAGCCACTAATGTTAGTTCAGGCAAACATAGGCTGGCCATCTGGAGAACGTTGCAGGAGGAGAGCCGGATTAGTCTATGGTGGCCCCAGATCAAAACAGTCTGGGTAGCACTTTTTAAAATTTTATTAGCGCATACGCCTTTTAATAAAAGTGGTTAGTTAGACCAGATGCTGGTCGTTGGGGAAGTAACTTAAAAAGGGGAAAAAAACACATTCTGTCCTGCTGTGGGTTTATTGTCCCTATATCTTAGAACATACAAATCAAATGTGACATAAATTGATTCAGGTTTTCTTTTTAGCTGTGGGGCCAATTACTGCAAACCACTATAAGCTTCTTAATCCTTGATGAATGAATATTAATCATGCTTCTTTCAAGCACAGTTAGGCTGAATTATCCCCATTAATTCAGTAAGATCAGGCGTGCTTTTCAAACGTGGGAAGTTGTTCTGGCTGAAGCATTTATACCCCCACAATAAAAGGGCTTTGAAATAAAAAATATGTTTACTCCAGCCTGCTCTTTATTTGCTAACTGGGTTCACGACGTCCTTCCTTATAGATTTCTTTCTGTTTCACAAATGCTCTGGACAGAAATTTCGAGTGAGGATGGGTAAAAAGTTTGTCGTTCTCGGATCATGACCTGGGTGCTCTTGCACACCCCCACCAGTTTGTGGGTGTGTGTTCTTTAATTCCAGTTGTTTTTGCATTTAATTCATTCTGTAACTTGTTCACGCTTGTCTTTTTGCGGTCAGGCCAAATCCCTTCTCTGGAATTGTATATTTTCAGGAGCAGAATTCCACAAGATTTTGCTTTTTCCGGAGGAATCCACCAAGGTGTTTTCTCCCAAAGGAGAGAAAACAGGTTGGCATTGGTGGGCACCCGGAAAAAAAAGGCCCGGTCCATCCCCTTTGTGCTTTAGTCAAAGAACGGTAGCCGGTCCAGAGCCCAGAGATATTGATGGGCTATTGACAAGGCTCAGAGGTGGGGCAAGAAAAATCAATCGGGATCATTGATCTCCGAGAGCGCATGGGGAGGATCACAAAGAGGGGCACAGCCGGTGCGCCTCTCTGGGGCCGGAGGGCAGCAAGGGAGGGTTATAAAGGGAGCGCTTGGCGAAGCCGCGGTGGGAGGCCAGCAGGGCCCTCCGTGCAGGTGAGTCTCGGGAAATTTAGGAAAGGTACCGACCACGGAGCCTGCTCCGTGTGTGGACGTGGCAGAGCGGGCGGATAAAGAGGATAAAGCAGATTCTGTTTCTCCAAGTGGGGCTCATCCTGGCACTGAATTTAAACCGCTGTCCCCCGCTGGTCCGTTTTGGTCAGCGCTGAACCCCCAGTGGCGTTTTCGGCAGAACGTCTTTTGCTGGCTTTATTTCCAGGGGGCTCGATGACACTGCGTCTGCAGGAAGCGCGATGGGCTTTTCCCCAGTTTTCCCGGCTTTGGCCCCAAATGTGCTACCCTGTTTGCTTTGGTAGATGGCCAGATGCTTTGGGATGCTTATACATCTGCAGGGGAAGACAGCGACCTCCTTCCCGCTGTTTGTCTGGTTCTGATATTTAAAGGTAGACTGCATCTGAATGCAGAGGTTCCATTTTGCTGCCGCGACTAACACTTTTTCTCCACGAATGTGGTAACCACTTTCTTAAAGCCATCCAAGCTAATAACCTTTCCTTCCTTCCTTCCTTCCTTCCTTCCTTCCTTCCTTCCTTCCTTCCTTCCTTCCTTCCTTCCTTCCCTTTCTTTTCCTTCCTT